CCGGGTCGGATGACACTCTCAGTGCCGTGGCCATAAATTAAAGTCGAGTAGCTGGGTTGGATGGCGCAGTGCGCCATCCGCAGCTCCACAATTTCCGCTTCCAGCCATCCGCATCAATCACATTGATGTGGATTAACGCGGTTAGCACGGTTGGCCTATGCACGGTGTGAAAGAAGTTCAACATACATCCGTACATTCACAATAAGCGTCAGTCTTTTTGAAGTATGTAAATTAACTGTGTATAAATAACATTCCGTGTTTTGAGCCTCAAAATATCAGTGGCATGGATGGGTGGTTGCTCATGGCTTTTGGGTGAAAGCCCCCTGGGGGTGAAGGGGGCACAGAAACCAGTGTTTATGGTTGGGGTAAGGTGACCTGGGCTGTGAAGTTCATCATGGAGTACAGAGGATAATTGACCTTACGGAGTCACTGTGCCTCAAAGGGCATCATTTTTAGCGGAATCAATGAGATGATCGGCTAACTGCACCATAAGCAGTCCGTAATCCCACCACCACCGTTAACGCCACAATAAGTTCGAATATTGTGCCTGAATGTTTGTGTGTGTGTGCACGCACCCATGAATGTGTGTGTTCACCTGAATGGGTGAGTGTGCATGTGTGTGTGTGAAAGCATGTACGTTTGTGACGAGCAGTGGTGTCGTGGGGAGTGCTACAAACCCGGCAACCCGAGTTCAATTCCCGCTCATGATTAATAAGTGACGAATATTTGAACCGGTCCTGCGCTTAGTTTGACTCGGCCTCAAATGAGTACCGGGTGTGGTGAGTAAATATTGTCACTCGAGAGACGAAGGCGACCGGCCGTTGTGCTGGCCATCCCACCCCCTCGTGTGCCATGCCGGCCTTCGTAGGTTGCTGTGCATCGAGAAATTCACACTTGGCTTCTGTAATCAACAGGAGGAACTCGTGAAATATCCAAACTCTGACAACACAATTAAAGCTGCGCCAGGCAATTGGCCAGAGGCTTAACAAACAAAAAAACACCGAACGTTGGTGGGAAAACTCTCCCCTGGGTTCCCTTGTCAGCTTCTCCGGGCTCGGTTTGCGTTTCCGCAGCAGGCGGCCCTGCAAGAGGCGTTGCGTTCGTCTCCGCCCTGGTGGGTTCGGGGATCCGAAAAACCCAGTGGCCTTTCATGTCAGCTGAGGGCAACGGAGGCCATTGCCTATTCCTACTGAGCGGCGTTCGTCCAACTCTTGGGACCGAATGATCTATGTACAAGTGCTGTTAACACGCTACCCTTGTATGTATTTTTTTACTTCTTTCGCACAATGCGTAGCCAACCGTGCTAATCGGAGGTGTGGTTAAAGGCGAGGTGGGGGGGGGGGTCGCAGATTTTGGAGAAAATGCCAGCTGCATTTGATGTACGTCAATGCAGGCAAACGATGGCTCGGCTCAGACAGGCAAACGACACGTGTGGCTTTCGCTGCAGTGCCGAGCTGCTTGAGAATTAAAAAAAATCTTAAAGGATTATATGAACCCAGCAGCATAGTGCTTAGCCAGATTTCAAACGCTCTATCTGTTGCATTTGAAAGGGGGCTTTGCTCTCTCTCTTTCCTATAAATAATTCATGCTTTCTGATTATTTCATTTTAGTTGGTATGCTAGGTCCTTCTAAAAAGATCAATAATGTCCAAAACTGTTTTCAAAGGTAAATGAGATTATTAATTTAATTCCTTGCCATTTTCAATTGGGCACGGGCAATCTACACGGGGCAGAAAGTATTCGATGAGGGGGAGTAGTGGGTGGGGGGGGGGGGGATACCACGATGCTTATTTTAGTTGGCGGCAGAGGAGGAGGACAGGGAAAAAAAATAAACTAGCACAGAAAATAGATGCTAACCGTCATTGCTCCACGCACTGCGTCTTGTCACCTGCGCCCGGCCGTTCCTGCGAGACCCCGGCGCGTTTAAAGCATCGCCGCTCTGCGTGGAGTCGCAGTAACCGGCACCGCGCGTGCGTGCGCCATGAATAGTGATTCCGCCATGAATAGTGATTCCGCATCCCGCCTTTAGCTCTCCCAGCGTGCAAAGGGCAGCGTGCTATGCGCGCATGTTTACCGGCGGCAGACGCGTCTGCAGCGTCCGAAGTATAAACAGCGGCTCGGGTATCGCTGCCGTGGCGTTACTTGATACGGCCTGTGACCAAATAGCCCTGAATACGCCTGATCTTGTCAGATCTTGGATGCCGAAGCGGGCACGGTTGAGCCCGGATTGTGCTTGGATGGGTGACCGCTGTGTACGCAATACAAGCTCTGTGCTGCTGCTGGTGCAAGGCTACGTTGTGGGCAGGAAAAGGAAAATGCAGCACAAATACGTTGTTACCGTAACCCTCTCTCACCGACCCACACTGACCGACGTGATGAAGTATGGCCAAAATAACCTCTGCGAGACTCGCAAATCATGGGGATGCCTTCGTCAAAGCAGTGGATTTGACAAAGGGTCGACATTTTATGGCGAAATGTTCATTCATTGAACAAAACGCAAAGTACAACAAACCACGTTTATTTACAAAAATTAAAAAAGGGTACGCAAGGGTTGACGTCGGGTTTTTTTTTTGTTCTTCTTCCCGGCAACAAGTACAGACGTCTGTGTCCGAGCGTAGCCTGTGGCCTCACTCTCGACTAATGTGCTTAATGCTTTCGAGCCCGCGATTACGCCGATTTTACATCAGATAAGTCACGCATTGCGCATGTTTGCGGTGCATGGTCTAGTGCCGCTGATAATGACTCATTGTTTGTTTCCCCGGTTTCTTTTGTCCTTGATTTGTGTTCCGTGGGTTCGCAGCCTCTTGACGGCCTCGTAGATTATTTAGTTATTTGGCTGCTATAAATTTCAACGTGATAAAGCCACTTTGTTGAGCTATCGTTTGTAGCCAGGTTGCTTCTGAAAAAGAAGCTAATAGCTCAGTGGGCTTTACCTGCTGAAATAAAATAGTATATTTTTATTTGTATATGCGTGTTTTTTATTTGCTTACCGTTCCTATACTTTTCCACTTCTATCGTGTGTTTGTATTGTTTTTTTTGTTGTTGTAACGTTCTGATCCTCCCATACTGGACATCTGTGAAAAAAAGCTTTATAGCTCATCGGATTTCTCCAGTATAAATGAATATTCTGATTATAATATTTTGTTCCCCGTATTAATCGTCACTTTGTATTTCACGGACAAATTCCCTGCCACATTTTAAATTTGAGTTATCTGTACCTCCCGCAGAGAGATACGCATTCCATTGGATCATTTGTATATCGCTGCATCCCTATCGGCTTGGGCCCACGTTATCTACAAAATGCAAGGTGTATATCAAGCAGAAAGCTCCTGACGTATAGTTGTGCCTTACAGAAACTGTACTTGCTACCACACGCAGCTTAAAAACACAACATCACATTGAAAAAAAAATCCCATCATTCGCAATGACAAAACAAAAATGGATCTACCCGTAACACAAGCGGTGGCACAACTGTCACGGAGGGCAGAAATCCAGCACATGTGATTTTCCCCGTGAAGAAATTAGCGTATGAATAAAATAAAAAAAGATAACTTTTAGAAAAACTAATAAATTAAATACCTTCACAACGCAGCGTGTTCAAAAACCGTTTCCTGAGTCACACCAGACCGCGTTCAGGATTCTTGCGATGCAGATGTCAGAAACTCTGGACAGCCAAACCTCCGATTAGCAAGGTCGGCTACGTATGGTGGGAAAAGATGTTCAGCAGACATACAGACATACAAATGTATCGAAGGTATCCTAAGAGAGGCAAAATGTCCAGAAACAGTTGCAGTGCGGCTGCCTTTATTTCCTTTCGCTTTGTTCTCGCATTACTCATTCTCTGTGTTCGATGTTTCCAAAGTCCAGCAGGGAACTATTTTTTTTTACGTTTCACGTTGGGTCGCTTTTTCCACGCACTTTTTTTCCCCTCCAAGCTCCATTCTACACCTCGGGTTCCGTGGAACGCTTCCATTGCTACGCGTCTCTCCAAATGCGTTCCCTCCACGTGCTTTTTCCATGTTTCTTGATTTTCGTTTTCCAAAGGGTGGGCTCGGAGAGAGGGCCACCGTAAACCCAGGCATGCGACAAAAAAATAATGAACCCTCTCTCCTAACTCCTAACCACTGTCAGTAGTTTTACCCCCCCCCCCCCCCCACCTCTTTATAATGAGAGGGGTCACAAAACTTAGGACAACAACAAATACATGGAATTTGAAGGCTGCTAAATTGCACGTCCGATTAGCACGGTTCAACATACATACAATATACATACATTGAATAGAGTAACATGGTAGATGCATATTTGCAACTTCTGAGATGAACTGAATGCGTGGTGCGGCATTGAAACGATTCCAATCGTCCAATTTTTAGTTTGTGAGTGGGGGAAGACCTCAGAGCAGGTGGTGGGATACTTTTAGGACAGATCTTGGAGTAGGTCAAGTTGTCTTCTGCGCTGCAACGGGATCTGGCAGAAAGTGGCAGGCGTTGGTGATGCAGTGTAGTGGCCATCAACAGCTGTGGCTGCGATGACGATCTTGATCTTTGTATGAGGGTCCCACTCAAACATCCTGGCAGGCCCGGCTGTGGGAGCGAATGAGGTGGTACAGTGGCAAGATGTTAACTCCATCGCCTGGTATGCAGGGGGTCGTGAGTCCGATCCCGACCGCTGATGATGCCTGTATATTTTTCCATTTGCATGTCTTTCTCTCCGTGGTCATGTGGATTTTTCTCCGGGTCCTCCGGGTTATCCCTCCACATTTAGAATCAACGCACGTTTAGAGTATTGGGCTGAAATAAATGTCCATCTCATAAGCCACTCCGTTGAGCTATAATTTGCGGCCAGGTTACTTTTGAAAAAAAGAGCCATATATCAGTGGGCCTTTATTGGTAAATTAAAAATAGTTTTAGTTTAGTTTTAGTTTAAAGTTTAGAATGGCATTTGATGTTGTTGCGTGGGAACTGACTTCTCCGCCTGTGTGTGCTCCCTCCCGGCGCTCCACAGCCTCGGCCACCCAGGAAGACTTCCAAATCCGGCCGCATGCCCTCTTCGTGCATTCGTACAAGGCGCCCACCTTCTGCGACCACTGCGGAGAGATGCTGTGGGGCCTGGTGCGGCAAGGCCTCAAGTGCGAAGGTGACGTTCATCTCCTCGTTATCGATGTGTGTGCGTGTGTGTGCGTGTGTGTTGTCGTACTGGATCATGTAGCCCGCATGCCCAGCCACCGCATTCCGAAACAGCTTTTGTTCGGCCGAATAGAGAGCGCTAAATAGGCGCGACACGGGTTAGAGACGGGATGGAGTTGTGTGGTACAGGAGAATGTGGAGCTGAATGGACTGGCCGATGACTTGTACCAGCGGTGTCAAGATTGGCCTCGATGGAGAAGGCTCGTGAAGGAAGCTACTGGGCAGTTTGAGGAAGTCACTCTCCAGCAACAACGGAGGGCAGACGCATGACGCTCACAACAACGAGCGGAGCACCAGGTGGCTAAAGCACAGCAAATTTCCACAGTGGGGGGCACAGTTGGTGCATCTGCCAGTCATCTCAGTCAGGCGACCCATGGCACCTAGGTGTTTCCCGTGACCTGCCAGCGGGCGTTCAACACTTCACTTGGCCTTAACGTGCACATAGTCTGGCACAACGGCCGTGGTGACGTCACCGCCACTTGTGGCGAATGGCGGTTGTTGTTGTTGCCGCATTTGTCGGTGAAGGCAGTGGTGCAGTGGTGCAGTGGTTAGCGCACTGATACATTGAGGGAAAAAAGTATTTGATCCCCTGCTGATTTTGTACGTTTACCCACTGACAAATAAATGATCAGTCTATAATTTTAATGGTAGGTTTATTTGAACAGTGAGAGACAGAATAACAACAAGAAAATCCAGAAAAACGGATGTCAAAAATTTTATAAATTGATTTGCATTTTAATGAGGGAAATAAGTATTTGACCCCCTCTTAATCAGAAATTTCTGGCTCCCAGGTGTCTTTTATACAGATAACGAGCTGAGATTAGGAGCACACTCTTAAAGGGAGTGCTCCTAATCTCAGCTTGTTACCTGTATAAAAGGTACCTGTCCACAGAAGCAATCATCAATCAGATTCCAAACTCTCCATCATGGCCAAGACCAAAGAGCTCTCCAAGGATGTCAGGGACAAGATTGTAGACCTACACAAGGCTGGAATGGGTTACAAGACCATTGCCAAGCAGATTGGTGAGAAGGTGACGACAGTTGGTGCGATTATTCGCAAATGGAAGAAACACAAAAGAACTGTCAATCTCCCTCGGCTTGGGGCTCCATGCAAGATCTCACCTCGTGGAGTTGCAATGATCATGAGAACGGTGAAGAATCAGCCCAGAACTACATGGGAGGATCTTGTCAATGATCTCAAGGCAGCTGGGACCATAGTCACCAAGGAAACAATTGGTAACACACTACGCCGTGAAGGACTGAAATCCTGCAGCGCCCGCAAGGTCCCCCTGCTCAAGAAAGCACATACACATGCCCGTCTGAAGTTTGTCAATGAACATCTGAATGATTCAGAGGACAACTGGGTGAAAGTGTTGTGGTCAGATGAGACCAAAATGGAGCTCTTTGGCATCAACTCAACTCGCCGTGTTTGGAGGAGGAGGAATGCTGCCTATGACCCCAAGAACACCATCCCCACCGTCAAACATGGAGGTGGAAACATTATGCTTTGGGGGTGTTTTTCTGCTAAGGGGACAGGACAACTTCACCGCATCAAAGGGACGATGGAAGGGGCCATGTACCGTCATATCTTGGGTGAGAACCTCCTTCCCTCAGCCAGGGCATTGAAAATGGGTCGTGGATGGGTATTCCAGCATGACAATGACCGAAAACACACGGCCAAGGCAACAAAGGAGTGGCTCAAGAAGAAGCACATTAAGTTTTTGATTTAAAGCTTTCGTGACTGGAGTAATTCATATTCTTAGCTTTTTCGGTAAAGTCACGTTGAAGGGAAACAATAAAGTAATTAAAATATATATAAAACAATAAAAATTCTCACGACGTTTCGACCATAACACAAACGGTCATCATCAGGTGTGAAAAACCAACGGCAAGAAACATTTGAAAGAAGTGTCGATTCGCATTTATTTATTTTTAAACGGTGTATTTATTTATTTATAAAAAACGTTAGCGCCACGCGCAGTGATTTGGCAGCTTATTTAGAAGGATGAGTCCATCTATGTTCTGAAAAGGGGAGGGGGGAGACGAAAAAATAATGTATGCTGTCTGAAAGCTACCGTAAGCGTGAACAATCAATTAAGACCCGAAATGGTTTATCAAATCCTTACAATGATTGCTAAGCCAGAATCCATCTTCTCGGTATAAATTGTCTCTGTGCTTGTATATGTGGATAGCCTCATGAACGAATCTCTCATGGTAGCCAGATGGCTTACAAATAACCTCTGTCTTGGAGAAGTCAATGTCCTGGAGTGGCCTAGCCAGTCTCCAGACCTTAATTCCATAGAAAATCTGTGGAGGGAGCTGAAGGTTCGAGTTGCCAAACATCAGCCTCGAAACCTTAATGACTTGGAGAAGATCTGCAAAGAGGAGTGGGACAAAATCCCTCCTGAGATGTGTGCAAACCTGGTGGCCAACTACAAGAAACGTCTGACCTCTGTGATTGTCAACAAGGGTTTTGCCACCAAGTACTAAGTCATGTTTTGCAGATGGGTCAAATACTTATTTCCCTCATTAAAATGCAAATCAATTTATAACATCTATGACATGCGTTTTTCTGGATGTTTTCGTTGTTATTCTGTCTCTCACTGTTCAAATAAACCTACCATTAAAATTATAGACTGATCACTTCTTTGTCAGTGGGCAAACGTACAAAATCAGGAGGGGATCAAATACTTTTTTCCTTCACTGTATGCACCTAATGACCAGAGTTTGAGTCCTTCCCACGGTTGAGTGGCGATTTTCTTAACCAGTCCTGGGCCTCCGTTAGGTCAACTAAGCCTTTAATGAGTGCCTGACATGGTGTGTAAGGATCAGCACTAGGGAGACGAAGGTGGCCAGCCATGGTGCTGATCACAACCTTTAATAGGTGCTTGCAAACAGTGCTTGCCCCAAGAGTCTGTAAGCGAATGGGGGAGAGGGGAGGGGCAGAGTATCTTTGTCTTCGTCACACTTGTAAGTTGTCAAGCTGGGCGTGGTGGCGCACATCTGTAAACCAGCACTTAGGAGGCACACATGAGTGGATCACATGAGTGGATTTGTGAAACTCCTAAACGTGCTGGCCTCTATGGGGTGGTTAAGAGATGGCGGTGCATCTTGAGCATTCTTGAATCCATCTGTGTGGAGCTTTAAGTGTTTTCCTCTTGTTTGTGTTTTTATTTTTCCCCAGGATACTCCCAATTTCCTTTTTGTCCATATTTAATGATGTCGGCATACCCTGTTAGAGTAAGTTTGACAATCAGTAGCTAATTTACTTGTTAGATCTCTCAGCTGTCAATATAATAACAGAAAATTGTTTGTATTGTAGGCCTCCAGACCTTAATCGACGTCTAACAGCCTTTTGCAAACGAGGAATTCGTATGCAAGGTGGCGATGTCGTGGCCATAGGAATACAGAAACAACAATGCGTTAACAGAGACAAGGCAGGCTGCGTGCATTCCAAGATAAATTACGGTGCACCGCATCTAAAATGATCCCATTATGTGTAGTATTTCAATCAAGCCATTATGAGAGCCGCTGCATCTTTGCCCACTCCGTGCCGTCGATTTCCACAGTAATGGTGTGTCTTACCATGCTGCAGGTTGTTGCCATAATTGGCCTTTATTGTTGCGAAGCATTGTGGTTGCAAATCCTGTGGCTCCGTGCCTGTCATTCTCTTGTGCGCCGTGCACCTTTCGCGTGGCTCGATGAGCCATCGCCTGACTACTCCTTTTGATGTGTGACCTCACTATGAAAAGCTGACCTTAATGGGTTCACAGATCGAAGAGATGAATCTTTGTTTCCTTATCGCAGTTACGGAGCACAGGCCCAAAGGCATCCAACACGGAACGGATGATGAGAGGATGTTGGGGAAGCCGGTAACACAGAGCATCGTTGCGAGTGTAGCAGATGAGAACGAACACATTTCTTGAACAAACAAAAAATAAGTTTAAAAAAATGGAATCAAGCACGAGGTGTTTTTTGGAACTTGGTAAAAGAAACGATGGGAGGGAGTTCTAAAATCAATCTTCCTTAAGCGGGAATGTATGTTGTTTTTATAAACATATCCCTCAATTCACAGTGGTGAGCTCTTTATTACCTCGCCTGGTATGCAGAAGCCATGGGTTCAATTCCGACCCTGATAATGCCTGTATATTTGGAGTTTGTATGTTTTCCCCGTGATCGTGTGGATTTTTCTTCGGGTCCTCCGGACTTTCTCTTAACATTTGAAAACATACATTCAGACTAATTGTCTGCTATACATTTCCACATGATAAGCCACTTTGTTAAGCTATCGTTTGTGGCCAAGTCACTACTGAGAAAGAGCTACATAGCTCAGTGGGCCTTTATCTGATAAAATAGAAATAGTTAAATGGGTTTTTTTATTGATGAACAATCTCATAACAATACAGCCCCTTTGTCAATCCACTACTGGATGAAGGCCTTATCATGCCGTGTCATTCATCGGAGGTGATTTTTGACCGAAACCTTACCACACTAAATTTTTATTTAAAACTTTCGTGACGCAGGCATTAATCCTCCCCACTAGTTTGTGCCGGTTGGTGAAATACTGTTTCAGATAGCACCTGCCACTGATATGCGCCATTTCTAGGAATCAAACTCGGTTGGCCAGGCTCATCGTACGTAGCGCTAACAACAGCGCCACTGGACACACTTGTGTCTACAGATTAATTTTCCATACAACACCAGATCTGCCGTGATGAGGGCTCGTATCCCCAGCCATACCATATGTATTAAAGCAACAGGCCGGATGCGCACATCCCCTTCACGAATGTAAAATTACAGACAAGCCACAGTGTTGCGATTATGACTGTGCAACCCCAAACTATGAACTATGTAGTACCTCCGATTAGTTTGGTTGGGTACATATGGTAGCAAAGACGTTCAACATACATAGTAAACAACGGTAGTCTGCATTCCTTCAACAGAGGAGAA